ACCCCAAACCCCAAACCCTCAACCCTCAACCCTAAACCCTAAACCCTAAACCCTAAACCCTAAACCCTAAACCCTAAACCCTAAACCTAACGCCCCTCGAGCCGACTCGGGTTCCCACTCCATCTTCGTCCAGGACGTAGAAGAGCGTGGCCTTTCCAGGGTTCGAGTTGCTGGGTTTGGGCTTTAGGGGGGTTTAGGGTTTAGGGTTAGGGGGGGTTTAGGGTTTAGGGTTTAGGGTTTAGGGTGTAGGGTCTAGGGTTTATAGGATTTATAAGCTATATAGGGTATATACGGGTTTATGGGGTTTATAGGGCTTATAGGGTTTGTAGCGCTTATAGGGCTTGGAGGGCCTATGGGTTTATAGGGTTTGGGGGCTTTAGGGGGTTTAGGGTTTGCTTGTTCTAGCGGGTTTGGTTTAGGGGGTTTAGGGGGTTTTAGTGTTTAGGGTAGTCGGGGATGGAATTTTGCACTGGAGTTGACCAATATTGGGCCTGCAGAGACTTTTGCACATATTTGCGCTTCCAAGAACAATACTTCATCAAAGGGAGTCTCGCGCAGTTTGGTTTAGGGGTATTAGGGCTTAAGAGTTTAGGGTTTAGGGTTTAATTAGGGAGAGTTGATACTCCAACCGGAAATCATACTCGGAATCAATTCATGCGAGCATCCATAATTGGAGGTGCTTCTTGTTGAATGTCCAAGCACAAACCCTAAACCCTAAACCCTAAACCCTAAACCCTAAACCCTGAACCCTGAACCCTGAACCCTAACTTCAGCGAGACAGCACTGCCACCCTGGCTCCAAAGAGCCCCAAACGAACCCTAAACTCTTGGACCATTTCTTGGTCCACCCAAAATCTGACCCTGAACCCCAGATCCTAAACCCGAAACCCCAAAAACCGAAACCCCAAACCCTAAACCCTAAACCCCAAACACTAAAACCTAAACCCCGAAACCCTAAACCCCGAAACCCCATACCCTGCGCCAAACACCAAAACCCAAAGCCCTGAACTGAAGCCCTAAACCCTAAACCCTAAACCCTAAACCCTAAACCCTAAATCGGGGCATGTCGACTCTGGGCGGCCCTTGAAGTTGACATGCTAGCCTTCAGGGGTACAAGGAGAGACCCCCAGAAGGCTACTAGGGTTTAGGGTTTAGGGTTTAGGGTTTAGGGTTTAGGGTTTAGGGACTAGGCTGCCCAGTAACCAAGGCTTAGAAAGGGTGCCTTTTTTGCTTAAATGGTGTTTATGAGGGAACCTAAACCCCCCAGTGAATAACGGTACTACTGGGCATCCTAGTCTAACTCCTAAATATTCCTTTGACAGTCCTTCTATACCTAAGTTTCTCCTAGATAACCCCTAAGGTCCTTTTATAAGGGACCCTCCTTTAGTCCCTTGATAGGCTTCAGACTAAAAAGTCCTCTGAATTCTTGTCCTCTACATGACCCTCGTAAACCCGAGAAGTTGGGCTGGTTCCCCCCCCCCCAATGTTGACAGTCCTTAATGGGGATTATGTTACCCCCGATTATTAGCCCTCTTCCGGACTACTAGAGGGAACATCCCAACCTATAAGGGAAAATATTCAAATATCCCAAAGGCCTACCTAGAGTCTTCGTCGTAGTGCTGGGATGCGGGTACCTCTTCATACCACCAAGTCTAGTAGACTCGCCATTCCAGGACCGCAAAGAAGAACTAACCCCAACACCCTACACCCCAAACCCTGAACCACAAACCCGAAACCCCAGACCCGAAACCCCAAACTCCAAAAAACCTCCATGTGGGACCCTAAACCCTAAACCCTAAACCTTACACCCTACACCCTAAACCCTAAACCCTTAGGTACAGTGGGGGCCTTCATCTCCGCACGCTGAACGCCGCGAGCATCTCCCTGCTCGACCACGCGCTCACCTCTTTCCCGGACAAAAAGGGTTTATGTTCAGGGTGTGGGGCTTCAGGGCTTTCGGGTGTTAGTTTAAGAGTTTAAGGTTGTTGGGGTTTTCGGGTTTGAGGGTTCTAGAGTTTAGGGGGGGGGGGGGGGGGGGGGGTAGGGTTAGAAGGTTTGGGGTTTTACGGTTCTTGGGGCTTAGGATTTCAGGTTCAGGGCTTTGGCGTTTAGGGGTGCAGGGTTTTAGGGGTTTGGCGCTTTGTGTAGACCTCCACTGTACGCCTACACCCCAAAACCCCCTAAACCCTGTCAACCTCCAAAACATTTTTATTGAGTTGCATTAGGCTGTGAAGCACTCATCAGTAGAGACCAAATATCTAGGGCGCCGCGAGTCGACTGAGACGAACGCCATAGTACTCGCTAATTCTTGATGGGGGGGGGGGGGGGGGGGGGGGCCCCGCCTGCGTTAATCCTGACTTAGGACCTTCCCCTTTATACTAACAGTCCTTAATAGGGATAATGGGGTTGCTATAATCCCAGAAAAAATAAAGGACTGTCAGTATAAGGGGGGGGCACCCAAGCAATGACAACACATATCTTGCATGATCGCTCCAAGGATGATATACCTACGGCCAACCCAAAGAGAGGGTCCAAAGCACCCTCTACTTGAGGTGTCTGCTATGGGGTTTAGGGTTTTAGGGTTTAGGTTTAGGGTATTTGCGCAGCCCTAAACCTAAGCAGCACTAAGCCCGAACGCTCCCGGATTTCCCACGCTGACGCGCTTAGGTTGCGCTGAAAGGTCTGTAAGAAAAACCGCCGCACCTCTAGTGCGGGCTTAGGGTTCTCAAGGGGCCTTTGAGGGGTCAGAGTTTCATGCTTAGGGGTTTGGGTCATGTAAAATGCCTTTACGCCAGTTGGTACCCCATTTCATGTGCAGACCTGCCCTACATCCTAAGCCCTAAACCCTGAGGCCCTGAGCTCTAATTGATAAACCCTGAACACCCTAAACCCTAAGCCCTGAAAGCCTCAAACCCTGAAATCCAAAAAACGGCGAGCTCAAGCCCACTGAGGATCTGACTTCGCTTGCCCATCTTCTGCTCATCCAGTGCCTGCACTTCAGGCGGAGGCCACAGCGCTTGGTGTGAGAGGGTTTAGGGTTAGGGTTTAGGGTTTAGGGTTCAGGGTTTCAGATTTTCAGGCTTAGGATTCAGGATAATGGCACATTATGCCCCACCTGAAAGTCAAAGAGGCTGCCCGTGTGTTGTCTGGTTCATGAAAGCCCCTGAGAAGGATACTTTCTTACTGACTCTCCTTGCAATAAGAATACTACTAAGCATCCTCTCCCCATAAGTGTGTGGTGCGCATGCGTACAATCTATCTCTATCTACATATATATTTATATATATTGATATTTTTGTATATTTATTTATGATTTATTTATATTGTGCATACATATTTGTTGTTATATATATATGGTGTATATATATATACATATTTATTTATATTGTATACATATATATATATATCTCTCTCTCTCTGTATTCGTTGTGACGGTTAGTTGAGGGAGGTTCGGGATCACCGGGCGTAGGGTGGCTGAGGGTCGAGACACTAGCAGCTTGAAGCTCCAACCCTAAACCCTAAACCCTAAACCCTAAATTTGAAGACTCAAAAACCAAAACAGCGAACACAAACGCCTGGGTATTTCCCAAAGTAGGGGCACCCCCTCTTATTCCCAAAACAGAATAGGATCCTCTTGCAGGGTTTAGGGCCTTGAACACAACGCAACTGCTGCAGGCTGGTGGATGGTTGGCATGTATCTCGGAGTTGGGTCTAGGGCTTTAAGGGTTAGGGTTTAGGGTTTAGGGTGTAGGGTTTGGAGTTTCGGGTTTTCGAGTTTAGGGCTTAGGGTCTCACATCCCTAGACCCTGAAACCCTGAACCTGAAGCTTGAACTCAGAATACATCCCAGATATTGGACGTAGTCCTACCCCTGCATGACTTCAAGCAGATGGCCATGGTTCAGGGTTCAGGATTTAGGGTTCTGGGATACATGATCTGAGCTACCCGGCCTAAGTTGCCCTTGACGGGCCTTACTTCGCGTTGCGGCTGGCTAGGGTGGAGCCGCACAAGATCCCATGAAAATAGCACAGCCTGCAGTGTTTGGGGTGCAGGAAAGATCTGCGTGCAGGCCATTCCGAGCGTGCTTCTTAAGCTTTCGGCTCTTCCCTCTTCGGGCTACTGAATCATGAAAAAAGCGCAAGATGCAGCTGATTTTGGGTTCGGCCGCGAGCAATGTTCTTCAGAGAAACCACATGCAGAGTGCTTTCAGCATCACCACATGATGTATTGGGTGCTGAGGATTTTAGGTTGGACGCTGCAGGATCCGCCACTCCTCCAGGTTCTGGCCGGATTCACCAGGGAGACACACCCTAAATCCTAAACCCCAACCAAACCCAATACCCTAAGCCCTAGACCCAAAACCCTCCCTAAACCCTAAACCCTAAACCCCTATCACGCCTAACACGACCACGGTCCCCCTGATAGCTGCAACATCTCGGGTGCCTGAAGGCCCAGAGCACTGAGCACTGGACTCGAAGCTCGCGGTTTTTCGTGAAGGGTTTGTGGGCTTAGGGATTATGGGTTGTCTTTTTTTGCGTCTGGGGTTTATAGGGTGTATAGGGTGTGTAGGGTTTTTTGGGTTTGTAGGCTGCATAGGCTGTGTGGGGTTTATTGGGTTTATGGGGTTTGTAGGGTGTATAGGGTGTAAAGGGTTTATACGGTGTATAGGCTGTGTCGGGTGTATAGGGTGTATAGGGTGTATAGGGTGTATAGGGTTTATAGGGTTTATAGGGTTTAGAGGGTGTATTGGTGTGTAGGGTGTATAGGGTTAGAGGGTTTTTTGGGTTTACAGGGTTCCACAGAAACCTCAAAACACCCTGGAACGGATTCCCCTGCTACCCCCCTCTATACTAACCCCCCCCCCCCAGCTCCCACCATAGTTAAGTATTTAGCGATAAATAAGCCGCATTAAGGTTAATTAAGCGGGGAACCTAGGGGGGGGTAGTAGCCCAAAACCCTAAACCCTAAACCCAGAGGGGGGTAGTGGGGAAGCCCATGAAACCTACAAGGATACAGTGTCGCCCTGCTCACCGTGTTCGGGGAGGCCTGACACAGCTCCCTCCAGCTCCTGACAGGCACGACTTCAACACTAAACCTCCTAAACCTCCGAAACCCTAAGCCCTAAACTCTCAACCCTCAACCCTAAACCCTACAACCCCGAAACCCTGAACAACCAAACCCCGAAACCCTGAACACCAAACCCCCTTGTTCAGAAATATTGGGGCCCAGGGCCTCCGAAGGCTCATCAGGGCTGCTCAGGGTTTAGGGTTTAGGGTTTTGGGTTTAGGCTTTAGTTCAGCATCTGGCGCGAGAGAGTTGCAACCCTAAACCCTATAGCCATTAGGTCGAAATACAGCAGGAACACAACGAACACAACAAATGTACAACTTTGGGAAAGACCAAACTCAGGCAGGCAGGTCAGTCATCAAGAGGGACACTCAACTTCAAACATCGACTTGTGTAGGATGTAAAGAAGCCGCAGACACAACGCCAACAACACGCGTGTTTCGGGCTGAGGCTTTCCCAGAGCCCCCATAGTTTAGAGGGTTTAATGGGACTAGGACTCAGGGTTGCGCCTTAGCCCAAACCCGAGACCACAAGGCTTCAGAAGCCCCTGAACCCCAAACCCTAAACCCTAAACCCCAACTGGCCTCCACAGCTGTCAGCTCGGATTGGCAACTGGCTAGGGAGCCCTGATGCTGGACGTGATCCTTGACAGTGTTAAGTTAAAGGGCTAGTGTCGAAGGTTAGGGTTTGGGGTTTGGGGTTCAGGGTTTAGGGTTTAGGGGTTTAGGGGTTTGGGGTTTGGGATTCAGTTAGGATGTGGGGTTTAGGGTTTGGGGTTTGGGGCTTAAGGTTGAGGGCTTGGGGTTTAGGGTCTGGGGTTTAGGGTCTGGGGTTTAGGGCCTGGAGTTTAGGGTTTGGGGTTTAGGATGTGGGGCCTGGGGTTTAAGGGTTTAAGGTTTGGGGTTTAGGGTATGGGTTTAAGGGCTTAGGGGTTGAGGGTTTGGGCTATCAGGCTCAGGGCATGTAAGGGCAGTTGGGGTCTATTGGGCGTAGCCTCCTCCAACTTGGCAATCCCAAAGCGTTGCACTTCATGAAGTCTGCAGCCTCCATCTCTGTGGCGACAAGCGCGCCCATCACCGAGGCCATCATCTCCGCGTAGGTGCGCAAGTTCATCGGAAGCTCGGCAAACAACTTGTACCCTGCAGCTTTCATGACTGCGATGACCTCCCAAGAGCCGACCACCACTTGGCTCTTGTCTTCCACCGTTTTGTGCTGGCCTGCGGCGGCTGCAGTACGAGCTTCCTGGTCGGCCTCTTCTATCTCTTCGCGCTCTATAGGGCTTGTGGCTTGCCGATGTGCCACCGCCCACGGACACAGACAATCACACCTCTGCCTTCGTGGAAAGGCTCTTCTTCGAAAGCTGGCTAATGTTGGCTAAGGGTTTTGGGTTTAGGGTTACCGGGTTACAACACTACACACTCAATCCCTAAACAAAACCCTTTCCCATCATGCATCAAAACCCCAATGCCAAAACCCCAAACCCTAGTGCCTAAATCCTGAACTCCCCGACAAGCCCTTTAAAACCCCAAAACCAAAAAATAGCACAACCCTAACATGCCGAAACCTAAACCATAAGTCCTAAACCAAAACCCAAAACCCAAAACCCTAAACCCTGAAGCCTAAAACCCAAGAGACTCTCAGAGGCACCCTAAACCCAAACTCCTGCAGCCAAAAACCCTTATAATCCCTAAACCCTGAACCCTGAACCCTAAAACCTAAAAACCCAAAACCCCCAAACCCTGAACCTGTACAGTGTTTTAGCACATTATTTCACTGATGATTCTATCATGTTGTGTCGCCCGGGGGAATAATAATATGGTAAGAACGGAGTGAACAGAGAGAACGCAGTGAATACAAGAACTAGATGATGAAAGGAAACAAGTGAGTGAAACGAGTGCGTGTTCCGTTCGCTTGGTATATTCACTCACTCACTACACTCTTTTGTGACGGGCGCATGTGTGAATGAATAGAGTGCATGAACACGCCCGTCACACACTATTTTGTGGTGAACGAAGTGAATGCGGAATACCAAACCCGAAACCCAAAACCCTAACCCCAAAGCCTAAAACCCCAAAACCCTTACACCCTCAACCCCGAATCCTAAACCCTAAACACTAAAACCCTACAAAACCCTACAAAGCCCTACACAATCCTACAACACCCTACAAAACCCTAAAACTACCCCAAAACACTGCAAAAATCCTTAAACCCTAAAACCCTAAAACCCTAAAGCCCTAAAGCCCTAAAATCCTAAAACCCTAAAACCCTAAAACCCTAAAACCCCCAAAACACTGCAAAAAAAACGGAAGCCTCCTCCCGCACGAGTTTGTCCGCCATGCGATCGTCCGCCTCGTCTCGCCAGGCTGCTGCCGCGGGGTCCTTTTAGGGGGTTTAGGGTTTAGTGTTTGGGTTTAGGTAGGGTTTAGGGTCCAGGGTGGAGGGCTGAGGGTTTAGGGTTGGGGGCTTAGGGTTTAGGGGATTGAGGGTTTAGGGGGTTTAGGGTTTGGGGGGTGTAGGGTTTAGAGGGTTAGGGTCTAGGGGTTTAGGTAGGGTTTAGGGTTGAGTTCTTGGTCGAGGGGAGGTTTGGGCTTCGCCTTAGAGTTGTTTGGGGTGGCTAGAGGCTTGAGAGACTTAGTGTTCGACCCTAACCCAAAAGCCCTAAACCGATTAGGGTTTAGGGTTTAGGCTTTAGGGTTTAGGGTTTAAGGACCCTTAAAGCCAAAGGGTGATTGGCAGCTCTGGTTTGCAGCTCCTCGTAGCGGTGCATCCTGCCAGCAATCTCCGCCACTTGCCTCCGCTGCAGGCCTGGTTGCAACAGCCAAGGGTTTAGGGTTTAGGGCTAGGGTTTAGGGTTTGGGGTTTAGGGTTTAGGGTTTAGGGCTTAGGGCTTGGGGCTTGGGGCTTGGGGCTCAGGGCTGGGAAGTTCCCCCTTATCTCAACGCTCCTTAATAGGTATTGAAATGGGGGGGTACTAGAATCCCTAAAGGCTGCTAGTATACGGGGGAACATCCCAAGTTTAGGGTTCAGGGTTCAGGGCTGAAGGTTCATGATTTAGGCAGTACCCTATACACCCTAAACCCTAAACCGCGTAGGAAGGCTCCGTCAGGGGCTAAGATGGATTTGGGGTGGAGCGGTCGCGGTGCAAGTACCTTTCAGCGCAGGTCGTACGAAGAGGATTCCAGAAAACCTTACTAACCCTATAAAACCCTACACTCCTCATAAACCCTGCAAACCCTATAAACCCCATAAACCCTACAGACCCTATAAACCCTACAAACCCTATAGACCCCAAATCCCCGAACCCGATAAACCCTATAGACCCTACATACACTATAGACCCTACAGACCCTAAAAACCCTGTAAACTCTACAAGTCCTACTATAAACCCTGTAGACCCTATAAACCCTAAAAACCCTAACCCAAAACCCCCAAAGCCTAGCCCTAAACCCTAAACCCTAAACCCTAAACCCTAAACCCCAAACCCCAAATCCCAAACCCTAAACCCTAAACCCCAAACCCCAAATCCCTAAACCCGAAACCCTAAACCCCAAGCCCAAAATCCCAAAATCCAAAATCCCCAAACCCCAAACCCTAAACCCTAAACCCGAAACCCCAAACCCCAAAATCCCCAAATCCAAAATCCCCAAACCCCATCCTTCGATACACCTCCGTTCACTGCCGGCCTTCCGACGCGAGCGGGGAGAAGGGCAAAGCCAACACGTTGACAAGCTTGCGGAAGGCCTGGACACTTAGGGTTTAGGGTTTAGGGTTTAGGGTTTAGGGTTTAGGGTTTAGGGTTTAGGGTTTAGGGTTTAGGGTTTAGGGTTTATGGCGGAAAGCCTCGACACCTCGGGCTGCAGGCTGCAGGGTTTCAAGCCGGGGCTCAGGTTTTAGGGACGATCGTGGGTCCAGGGTTTGGGGTCCCTAAACCCTAAACCCTAAACCCTAAACCCTAAACCCCAAACCCTAAACCCCAAACCTTAAGAATCTAAAGCTGCAAAGCAGCCTGGGTCAGTTGCCGTCGGCGCTCCGCATCCTCGGTGCTTTCATGCTCAAACGGCGAGCTCACATCCTGCTCCAGGCTTGGAAACCTCGGTTGCCAGTAACCTGAAAAAATGGGGTTTTGGGTTTAGGGTTTAAGGTTTAGGGTTTAGGGTTTAGGGTTTAGGGATATACTCTATGAAACACCCTATATGTGAACCCTTATAAAGAAACGGAATCATACGCCTGGGTACTCAAAGTGCGTGTCGGCAATCACGGTCATGAGCTCAAGGCTCCGTCCTGAGGGGATTCAGGGTTTAGGGTCTTTAGGGTTTAGGGTTTAGGGTTTGGGGCTTAGGGCTTAGGGTTTAGGGCTTAGGGTTTGGGGTTTAGGGTTTCCGTGAGCCCGAAAAACTGGGACCACTATGGGGTGCTGGGAAAGAACGGATTCTTCTACGGCACCCAGACTTGAAAAACAATACATACACACACATCATGTATGTACACATATTATCTATATATATATATGAAAAGGGAGCACCGGTGAACATCAACCCCGCAATAGACCCTACAAAAAGACACCCTCACGGCGAATCAACCCGAAACCCTAAGCCCTAAAGTCTAAACCCTAAACCCTAAACCCTAAACCCTAAACCCTAAACCCTAAACCCTAAACCCTAAACCCTAAACCCCATCTAGTCCCCAAACCAAGGCACCAGGGGCATGAAACGCGGCCAGAAGTGTGCGCGCAAAGCCCTGGTCGTTGAAGATGCCGCGGAAGAGCAGCACGACGAGGTAGTAGGCGTAGGGCTTCCTTGGGGGACGCACAAACCTAACAAGGGTCTAGCACCCACATCACCCTAAGGACTAAAGCCCTTTGTAGTAGGTGTTTGGGTTTAGGGGTTAGGGTTTGAGGTCTAGGGTTTAGGGTTTAGGGTTTAGGGTTTAGGGTGGTATATAGGGTATATGACCCCCAACCATAAGGGTGTGAGGTCCCAAGGTTCCAACTGACCATCTGGCGCCTGCCGTGGATGACGGCACATTCCACCTTCAGGTGGTCCTGCAGCACACCCTGAACTACATTAGGGTTTAGGGTTTAGGGTTTAGGGTTTAGGGTTTAGGGTTTAGGGTACTACTATATGCCTAAGAACCAACCCAAGAATGAAGAATAATAATCCCCATATTGCCTTTGAAATGAAGAATATTCTGATTTTCTTGAGGGGTTCTTAAGCAAGCGATGAACCTAAACCCCCTAAACCCCTAAACCCTAGCCGTGGTGTTTGGGGCCATGGGTTTATAGGGTTTATAGGGTTTGGATGGGTTCAGGGTTTAGGGTTGTAGAGTTATGGAGTTATAGGGTTATAGCGCTGTAGGGTTATAGGGTTATAGGGTTATAGGGTTATAGGGTTAGAGGGTTATAGGGTTATCGGGTTATGGACCAGGGGGTTATAGGGCTATAGGGTTACAGGATTCTAGGGTTTTCGGGTTTAGGCTTGCAGGGTCTAGGGTTTCGGCTTTCGGGAGTAGGGTTTAGGGTTTAGGGTTTAGGGTTTAGGGTTTAGGGCTAGGGTTTAGGGTTTCGGGGTTAGGGACCCCACCCCACCCCTTCGGGGTGGTCCTGCAGCATCAGCTGGAAGACTTCACAGGCAGACAGCGACTCCGCGTCGGCCACGGAGCTGAGGATCAGGATGCGAGCCCTCCTGGGGTTTGAAACTAAAGGTGGGGTTTAGGGTTTAGGGTTTAGGGTTTAGGGTTTAGGGTTTAGGGTTTAGGGTTTAGGGTTTCCGGTTTGGGGTTTGGGGTTGGGGTTTGGGCTTTGGGCTTTGGGCTTTGGGGTTTGGGATCTAGGGTTTAGAGTTTAGGGTTTAGGGTTTGAGGTTTGAGAGTTTGGGTTTGGGGTTTGGGGTCTAGGGTTTAGGGTTTAGGGTTCTGAGTGTATTCCTAGGAGAGATGTTCCAGGAGCCCAGTATAGGGAACAAGATGGGTTTTGAAAGGGTTCAATGGGATTGTCTAGTTAGTGCTTAAGTACAAACATCCCAGAAAACGACCTCTTTGTAGCCCAGTAACCAGGTTTGGGGTTTGGGGTTTAGAGTTTACGTTTAGAGTCTAGGGTTTAGGGTAACAAGGGTGCCTTTTTTGGAGTTGGTTACCTTACAAGGGAACGCCGAACCAACAAAAGGGTACCACTGGGCTACCAAGAACCCTAAACCCTAAACCCTAAACCCTAAACCCTAAACCCTAAACCCTAAACCCTAAACCCTAAACCCTAAACCCTAAACCCCAAGACCGAGGCTCGAAGGGGCCAGGCTGAGCCTGGAGCCTGATCCGCTTCCAATGCCGCTGAGGCTGCCGCTGAGGCTGCGAACGGAGGACAAGACGCCGCAGCGAGCCTCGGGGTTTAGGGTTTAGGGTTTAGGGTTTAGGGTTTAGGGTTAGTTTAGGGTTAGTTTAGGGTTAGTTTAGGGTTTAGGGTTTAGGGTAGTTACCTGAGTATGGGCCCTTAAATGGGGATCCCTTACATACCCCGTATATACCTTATAAACCCAAGGGCCCGTACTTCAGAACCCTTTTAGAGAAGGTACGGGGCCATACTATGGAACCATGCAACCGCCCTTAGATTTAAACATCAGTAGCCCGTTTTCGTCCAAAATCTGTCTGAGTTTGCGGGTCATAAGCCCTTCAAGCCTCAAACCCTGAAGTCCCTACACGCCCCTAAGCCCCATGAGCTTCTTTGGGGTTCGCTTCCTCCTCAAGGAAACAGATTTGCCAGTACCCTAAGAACACGTGGGCCTCACCCTCAGGATTCACAAAAAAGAGAACCCTAACCCGAAACTCTAAACCCTGAACCCCAAACCTTTCAGAGGCCATCTTTTCAAAGGGACCAGCATGTCACGCACTGCCTCCTCCCGCGCCCAGACCTGGGTCGGCACAGTTTTGGGGTGCGGGGCAAGTAGGGCTTTGGGTTCCGGGTTTAGGGATTTACTTATCAGCAGCTGATGACTTTAGGGTGTTTAAGGTCTAGGGTGTTTAGGATTTAGGGTTTAAGGTTTCGCGTTTAGCAGTTTAGGGCTTTGAGCTTAGCATTTTGGGCTCCATCAGAACCCACCCTTCTCCCCACCCCCAGCCCTGCCTCCTAATTTCGCACATCCGCACATGATATCATAAATGATCTTGGGAGAGTTTTCTGTTGGGGGATGAAACCGTAAACCCTAAACCCTAAACCCTAAACCCTAAACCCTAAACCCCCCCCTGAGGGCTCGGCAGACCCGAAACGGGGCATGGACAACGGCGTCAGGTCGTGCTGGAGCCAAGCGTATGCGTGGGCGACATCAGCCTGGGTTGGGCCCCCAAACCCTAAACCCTAAACCCAAGTTTGGGTTTGGGATTAAGGGACCCTCTGACAAACATTCCTAAATAGATCCCAATCCAGCAACCCCCAACCCCCAAACCCCAAATCCGAAACCCTTAAACCCTTAAACCCTTACGTAAACTCTTAAACCCTTAAACCCTTACACCGTTAAACCCTGAAACCCTGAAACCCTTAAACCCTTAAACCCTTTAACCCTTAAACCCTTAAACCCTTAACCCTTAAACCCTTAAACCCTCAAACCCTCAAACCCTTAAACCCTTAAACCCTTAAACCCTTAAACCCTTAAACCCTAAAACCCTAATCCCCTAAACCCTAAACCCTTAAACCCTTAAACCCTTAACCCTTAAACCCTAAACCCTAAACCTAAACCCTAAACCCTAAACCGTAAACCCTAAACCAGCGGCGATCTCCACTCCGTAGTTTGCCAGAAGCTGTGTCTGCTCCGGCGTCCAAAGGGACGGAAACTGCTGCAGAGCTTCGGTACCTAGACCCAAGAGTAGCCTAGGAATAACCCTAAGCCCCAAAAAGGGTTTAGGGTTTAGGGTTTAGGGTTTAGGGTTTAGGGTTTAGGGTTTAGGGTTTAGGGTTTAGGCTTCAGGGCTTCAGGGGTTCAGGGTTTAGGGTTTACTATAAGCCTCCCAAAAAAAGAAAAAGGGCCTGCGATGGGACCTAGGCACACAGCGGCTGGAAGCCGTCGCACACCAGTGGCACAGTGGTAATCCTAGGGTTGCTGTTGAGTTTAGGGTTTAGGGTTTAGGGTTTAGGGTTTAGGGTTTAGGGTTTAGGGTTTAGGGTTTCGGGTTTCGGGTGTCGGGTTTCGGGATTCCTATGGGGAGACATGACAGAGAGCGTGGCTTCCTTGCCGAACTTGAGCTCCAATCCCTAAACCCTAAACCCTAAACCCTAAACCCTAAACCCTAAACCCTAAACCCTAAACCCTAAACCCTAATCCCCAAATCCTAAGTCCAAGGAACTTGTTCTTCCAAGCCGTGGTGATCTCTCCAGCGCACCAAACCTGTGCTAAAGGAGGCCAGGCACTGGCACTGGTAAGGTTTAGGGTTTAGGGTTAGTGTTTAGGGTTCAGGGTTCAGGGTTCAGGGTTCAGGGTTTAGGGTTTAGGGTTTAGGGTTTAGGGTTTAGGGTTTAGGGTTTAGGGTTTAGGGTTTAGGGTTTAGGGTTTAGGGTTTAGGGTTTAGGCTTGAGGCTTTAGGGTTTAGAGTTTAGGCTTGAGGCTTTAGGGTTTAGAGTTTAGGGTTGCTGGCTTCTACTCTTGCCTCTTCAACCCTCAACCATAAACAGCTTCGAGGGATTGTGGACCAGGAAACGCGCTTGAGGAGCTCGGGCGTCAGTACCACCGCCATGCTCTGGGTTGAGGTCCGAACCTACACTGAACTTGGAACCCTAGCAAAATCACGAAATTTTCTGTTTCTTAGGAATCAAAGTACCAACACAAAACAATTTTTTCAGTATCTCTAAGGAACAATGTCGAAGAGCAGGTCCTTAGGGTTCACAGGGGGGTTAGGGGGTTTAGGGGTTCGGGGTTTCGGGGTTTAGGGTTTAGGTGTTGGAGCACCAGCAACGACCCGCAAGGTAAGCAAGCTGTGTAGTCATGACATGAACTACCCAAAACACTGTACAAACCACTCTCTGGTTTCACTTTTGACTACTACTATTTGCTAAAAAAACCCAAAAAATGATAAATAATAATCCCGACATTTCCTCAGAAGGAAGAATACTTTTCATTTTCGGGTGTTCCTAAGGAACTAGTAGTTCTACGCCCAAGACTTCAAACCCTAAACCCTAAACCCTAAACCCTAAACCCTAAACCCTAAACCCCTAAACCCCTAAACCCTAAACCCCTAAACCCTAAACCAATTCTGGAGCAGGTCCAACTTCTGCAGTTGGTCACAGTCCAGGAAGACCCGAGTTGAGCTGCGCCGTGCGATCATAATCTTCCTGAGGAGTTTAGGGTTTAGGGTTTCGGGTTTAGGGTTTAGGGGTCTGCGTGGGCTCCCTATCTCCGGAACCCTAAACCCTAAACTCTAAAGCCGTGGAGCCCTCTTCGTGGGCTCCTAAAGAGAGAGAGATACATCAGGGGCTTCGGGTTTGGGGCTTAGAGCAGAATCTAAATGCACAGCACGCGTGCTGTGACAGCTCCTACAAAAGCTTCTATTCCAGCTCCCCCCCCCCCCCTACTGGAATAACAAAACTTTGCCCTAAACTCCCTAAACGTTAAGCACCCCAAAATCTTCTTCTAAAAAAACGACCAGGCGTCATCAGCCGGCAGAGGCTGCCTGCCCCAGCTTTGTGGTGGCAGAGAAAGACCCCAAAGCGGCGCTGCTGCTTGAAGTGGCCTTGGTTGCTGAGGTTCACAAGGCCCCCCCAAACAATTGCACACTTTCAGTTCTATAGGGGATTAGAGTACCCCAAAAAATTGCACACTTTCAGTTCTATTGGGGATTAGAGTATCCCAAAAAGTGTAAAGTGTACTCACTCAGCTACTAAGTACTGAACCCTAAACCCTAAACCCTAAACCCTAAAGCCTAAACCCTAAACCCCAAACCCTAAACCCTAAACCGAGTGGCCCAGAAGCGCCCGCAGGAGGGCCACCGTCGTCACGAGAAGCAGCCCTGCCACCGGGAAGCACAGGAGCCACCCCAAAAAGGAGGAGGAGAGCGTGAGATCCTTAGGGTTTAGGGTTTAGGGTTTAGGGTTTAGGGTTTAGGGCCGGTTTAGGGTGAGTTTATCAGCACCCCCCCCCCAAAAAAATAAAAGTGTACACTTTCCGTTCGATAAGGGATTGCATATCCCAAAAAGTGTAAAGTGTATTCATTCAGCTACCAAGGATCAAGCTTCAGCAGAGGCGCCACCCCCAGAAGGATCAGAAGTAGCAGCCCCGTGAGTAGGAGATCCACCTGGTTCGCCTGCTGTGTGCGCCAGGGGCAGGTACCCGCCAGCAACACCAGGCTGACCATTAAGATCAGGCCCATGGCTGGCACCTGTACCTCAAGCAGGTCTACAGCCACAATAGGCAGCAGAGCCACAAGGCCATTGCGGCACAGGAGCACAAGGCCGTAGTAATACCTTTCCGACTTGAACCGATGGAAAAGGAAGCGGTAGCGGTTCAGCAGTCGGAGGCCCCTGCCGCTGGCGACCCACGAGGGGTACATCACAGTGGCGTAGGTCGCCACAGTGAGAAATGCAACAGGTTGGCTCAAAACGCCGATGACTGCCAGGATCACAAGCACCTTGGTAGCCCGGTAACCATACTATAATAAGGGTACCCTTTTTGGGGGTTGGCTGCCTTATAAGGGAACCTTGAACCCGAAAAAGGAGAAAAAAGGGCACCACTTGGCCACCAAGGCACTGTGTGCTCCTCCGAATCGTAGCAGATGACTCCGGGATCTGTTGCCATGGAGGTGACGCCGCTTGGATTGGAGACGCACTGAAATGGAGTCAGAGTGGCCAGAGCAATAGCCTAGTTCAGAGCTGGGATAATATGAAACATTTAAACTGTTTATTCCTTATTGGGCTTAAGTACCCTTAAAAATGTAAAATGTTACCCAACTATGACAAAGTAGCCAGGAAGAAGGCAAATGACAAGAGCCCGCACAGATTCAGGACTGTGTCGAATGGCTTGGGCCTTCCCCACCATTTCGCAAAACACCAACCTATACTGAACTTGGAACCCTAGCAAAAATTACACTTTTAGCTGTTTCTTAGGAATTAAAGCACCCACAAATCAAAAAAACTAGTTCCAAGTGTCCCTAAGCAACTTGCAAGTGGAAAAGAGCAGGCAATGGGGCATGCCACCAGCTTGCATGTAAACCTGGGTTGCTGTTCAGGACGTAGGGGCACAGGACAGACAGAAAGGATCCCTGATAATGGCAATAAACTAAAGAAGAGAAGGGGGAATAAGGGCCTACTCTGGGTCCTAGTAGCCCTAAACCCTAAACCCTAAACCCTAAACCCTAAACCCTAAACCCTAAACCCTAAACCCTAAACCCTAAACCTCCTAGCATCCCAGACACTTCATGACGGGGCTGTCAGCTCCGTAGATGCAGGTGATGCGGACGAAGTCCAGGTCAAGCGTCAGGACGTTCAGCGCCAAGTCCTCGGTCTGCCCCTCTTTGGGTTTAGGGTTTAGGGTTTAGGGTTTAGGGTTTAGGGTTTAGGGTTTAGGGTTTGTGACTGTGATGCTTGAGTCCAGAGGACGCGCGCGAGTCATCCTGCTTATCCGCTGCCTCCAGCAGCGCGAAGCGAGACCGTCTGCCCTTGCAGAACCGAAACAAAAGAGCCTATGGTCTCGCACCCGCTTTCTCCAAGCCGGTATCTTTGTACAATGCGGACACTTAGGCTTAGAAGATCGGCCAACAGCCTGATCTTCAATGTCCCTTGAGCTCTGCCAATTGTGCAGTGCTCTAGGATGTCTTCGACATCCGGAACCTCACTGATGCGAAGCAGCATTCGGACTGTGGTAGCAAAGAAGTCCGAGGCTGTACGCGAGTGCTTGCTGAGAAATTCCCAGAGTTTGGACGGCTGTACTGGTGGATCTTCTCTCGATCGGACAGCTCGAGCGACTGCGGTTGGCCTCATCGTCGCCCAAAACGGCTGTGGTCCTAAGGCTTTGCAGGCTGGGCGCCTGACAAGGGCTTTATTCTCCGTGAACTCTCTGGGCCCGTACGAGACATCTGAAGCCAGATGAGCTTCTGCACATGTCTCCGCCTTGCGTAGATGCATGCGTAGGCATGGGGTTGTCCAGAATTCGCCTCTGCACACGGCGCAGTATGTGCCTTGCACATTGGACACTCTACCTCCAACATCGTGTCTCCGACTGCGATGTGAGGCAAGAGCTGCTTCGGTGCGGCACCCTATCCCGCACTCAGGACAGAACCGTGTGGATTGGGCCTGTCTGTGTTCAATCGTGAACACGCAACCTCCTTGTGCTTCGAGACATGCCAGGAACTCAATCTTTTCCTTGACTTGCTGTCGGTTCTGTGCCAGCGTCTTCGCCGTATGTGCTTTATACTGTCCAGGCAGTAAGCGAAGAGCTGGCAGGTGTTCTTGTAGGTGAATGAAGATCTGGCTTTCATCCTCCGGGATTGAGATCGCCTTCTTCGTTGCATTTACTGCGATTTTCAAGGAGCAAATCGCATCTCTGATCCAATCCTGTGCTACCAAGAGTGCTTTCCATAGGTATCCATCACCATTTTCCACCACCATCACCAACTGTGCCAGGCGGGCTGCATGCAGGAGAGTTTCAGCCGGAAGACAGCCGGTAACCTCGCATACTTGCGCGGCCGTAAGCCCTTTCGATGTGGCCCCAACTAACGGACGGACCATGCTCCTCTGCCATTTCTGTATAGTGGAGCACAAGTAAGCCTCATCGTTGTTGCTGAGCCGCCATTGTCCAATCCCATGCATGAACCGTCCAAGCACCAGTCCTGAGAAGAGCTGGCTCTTTTCGCTCGCTGTTAGGTCGGGGTTATACAGCAGCGTGCGCTTCAGTCTATCGAAGGCAAGGTTGGCGTGGACTCTTCGATGATCAATGTCCTCCCGGTACGTGTTGATATCATTCACGATTCCTCCCAGGTGCACATATGATCTCGTTAAAGTTAGCTTGGCTATTTTGTCTCCAGCGATGGGAACCTCTACGTGTGGGTCTGGTCGGCTGAAGTGGCTCTGCCTAAGCTTTCCTGCCTCCGCACCGCGCCAGACAATCAGAGCTTCTGACTTCCCTGGAGCGAAATTCATGTCAAGTCCAACGCTGTGCATCGCTTTGTGTGTGATGCTCGCCACCTGTACTACCTGAGGCAAGACTTCAGATGCGCTGCTGCTTGCACATGGAATCGCCAAGTCATCTGCCCACGTGGGTAGTGGAGCGGCCGCTCCAATCCCTGCAGTCACTTCCAGGCCGTTTTCACGAAGCTGATGCTGTATCGATTGGAGTGCTGTCGTGAAGATGATCTGGAAGAGGACATCTGCCAATGGTGCACCTGGCGATGTTCCTGTGCACGTGGCGCATAGTTGATCTGCCTGTGCGTCTGTGCTGAACCATGCATGCGCGAGCACACTGCGCACATAGTGTTTGACTGGTGCAGGTGCGTCCTGCATCAGGCCGGGACCTGCCAGCGCTGCCAGCAGTTGTCGTTGCATATCCGGCTGAGGGTGTATGCGTTCGACCGCAGCGAGCAGGGCATCATGGCCGCAGATATCTCCATGTGCGAAAAGGAAGTGCCTAATGATGCTGTAATAGGCATTCGTGGCATCCACAAACAGGATGGCGCCTGATTGCTTCCGCTTCTCAAGCATGGACAGGTGGGTTCGTATGTGCAGCATGGGCAGCGAGATGGGCACGCCTTTCTGTGCCCCACACTGAACGGGAGCTGCCTTGTTGACAAATTGCTGAACGATGTCCGGCCTGAAGGCCTGTCCCACGGCCTTGCACGCAGGTTCAAGTAGCATGACGCTCCGCCAGCCACTCAGATCAAGTGGAGGTTTATTTGGCTTCGGGATGGGCACACAGCGTCCTCCCACCCACAGAAAGGGGGGTTCTCTGCCCATGGCCATCCTCAGAAGTAGGGGCATGTGCAGCTTCGCCGCCTCCATGGGCGCAGCCCTGAAGGCTTCGGCCGGAATCAGTGAAAATCCACTGGCTTTATGAGGTTGTAGGCGCGCAAATCGGCTGGCCAGATCCACAAGGGTTGGGACCTGGTCCGGTTGGATGTCTTCGCCCGGACCTGTATGTACTGCAGCATGCTTCCCCTGCAGATCTTCGCGGGAGCAGAGCTGTGCCCTCTCTGCTTTGGCGAAATGCAATGCAAACGCGTGGCCCACATCTTTTTGGCCTGCGACCAATTCTCCATTGATTTGCAGTGATGGGGCGGCGCGGGTAGGCTTGTACGACCGTCCAATACGCAAGATGCTTCGCAAATGTGCGGCAAGAGCGCCTGGGCCATCCTTTTTGGCTTCTTGCATGCACTGCCTCGCATGATTCGCTGTGTCTTGACGCATGTGTGCCCTGATTTGACAGTGGGCTGTGCGCACCAGCTTGCCGAGGCGGGCTTGCAGCATGTGCCAAGTGTTCTTGAGCCTCCCTTGGCGTGTGGCAGGGCGAGCCCATGCGGCCCAGCAGGCACGCAGGAAAGCTCTGCGTTGTTGCTGGCCGGCTTGGTGCATCTGCCTGCGCAACTTGCGTCTGAATTGTATCCATTTCCAGGAGGATTCGGACACGTGCAATTGCCTAGGTCCTTTTGTTTGCTTGGGAAAGGCTTCGACTAGGCTCTGGCTAATGTGCTTATTTAGTGTGGCCAGGTAGTCGTCGGCATGGACACCCCACGGGAGCTGCGGGGCTGTACTGAATATCTGCCGAATCTTTTCTCTGCCCGCTGATGTCAACATAGCTTGCCGGTCAACTGCAACGTGGACTCGGGAAGCCTTGCCAAGATCCTGCCAGTGCAATCTCGCGATAAGCGGAAAATGGTCCGGCCCGTGGATTGAGGGGAAGTCTGACCAGGCCCCGCTAGTAGTAAGTCCCTTGCCCAGATCTCGTGGAACAATGATGTAGTCCAGGCACGCCCCTCTTTGCATGGGACTTGTCCAGGTGATCGCTTTATTGCCGGAACGGTCTCTGAGTGGGGTGCAGGTGAGCTCCCGATCCGCGAGAAGGGCTTGCAGAAATTTAGCGGGAGTGGTCAAGGGCCTGGCAGCAGGGACATGGGCGTCCTCGTCGCCGAAACGGGCATTGGCATCTAGAAAGAGGATTGGTCGGAACTTGGCGGGTATCGCCCGGATGGCACTATCCAGTCTGCTCCACCAAGCAAGGATTGTGTCATAGTCGGTCGCCGAGGTGGGGCTGTGTCCGACTATGCAAGCAAGGCTATTCTTGCCTAGGTCTACCAGTACGACTAACAGCCTGGGTTCGGCTCGGATGATGGAGATACATTTGGTGTCAAAGTGGATCTGTTCCTCTCCATCTGTCGCGATTGCTGCGTCGGCATTGAGCCATAGCTGGCATCCTAGATGGCCCGCGTCGTCCGGGCCTGCAATGACTATGTACGAGCCTTGCTTGCTAATGGGATTGGTCGGCGAGTACCTGGTCTCTTGGATTCCTATCAAGTGCACTCCACGGCTGGCACATTGATCCGCAATGATTTGTCTTTGTGCCGGGTGTTTGAGAGAGGGTGTTGTACGTCACCATCTGTATGTCCCATGCCATGTTTCTCTCGCGGTGACCAGTAGGCGTTTGTTGGTACACTGGCCATGTGCAGATCTCAGGTCTGCTGCTCGCTTGGTGAGAGGTGGCTTGGGCCTCAATTGTGTCCTTGAGCACGGGCCAAGGTGAAGCAGCATTTGCCTGTTGTTGTCGCAGCCATAGCCAGTGAAAATCATTGCTTGACATTGCTGCAATTCGCAACTGCTCAGCCGGGTCGTGATGGAAGATGTTGTTGGCTGCTCTTTTTGCAGCTATGTCAACAAGTTCGTTGAACGGGTCACCGGAATGTCCCGTGACATGTGCCCAATGCAGTTGCCTCAAATGGGCTGCGGCGTAGTCAGCAAGGAGGGTAACTCTCAGAGAGAGTTGGTCATTTTGTCTGGACCAAGCCTCCGCTTGTGCCACACTGGCTGCTGCTTTTGCATCATAGTGCATGACAACCTCATGTTCGTGTAGTGACCCGGCGGTCAGTAGGGCAGCAAACAGAGCATGGAGTTCGGCAATGTGTGCATTAAGTGGATACGCAGCCCTTGTCGAGTTCACTCGACCCGATGCAAAACCGCCGAACGTCCAAGTGCCCTCTTGGCGGACAAGGACACAATACGCCCACGCTGCGCTGCCATCTTGGGCTTGGAAGGACCCGTCTGTGAATATGCGTGCAGCGTCTGACGGTTGATCCGCTCTCCACATGGGGAGCGTGCGCAGTGCTTCTTGTGTGGCTGGGTGCAAGGGCGCCAATGATGCGGTATCTCTGTTTAGGGCCTTAAGCTGCACGCAACTTAAACCAAACATCGTCCTTAGATCTTTCTTTAGAACCTCTGAGACCTGTGTCTGGCTATCTGACGAGTCAGGCCGGGTGTCTTTTTTTGGCAGCGAACGTCTGCCCATGGGCGTTGCAATCTGATATGACAATGCCCTTGAGGCATGTTCGACTTCTGTGGGCTGCTCTGTGGGTGGTGTGGGTGGCCGGATGGCCACGAAGATCCATTGGATGCCCATGGGGTCTCCTGGCAAAGGACTGTGCAGAGGACCTCCTGCATTCCAAACCCTGAGCCTATCATTACTTATGGCCTGAAGGACTTGATTCCCAATGCCATCGCAACCTCTAGTGTCTGGCGGGATTGCTTGCAGCTCCTGCCCCATAGCCGTCCAGCTCATAGCTGGCGCGATGTTGATAGTGCATATCCCGCCTCCTATCCCTCGGCAATCACAAGGAACAGCAAAGTTGCGCGCTGGTGCATCGTGGAAGGTCAATACAAATTGCGGCTCAGGAAAGCCGTAGACTGTGTGGTGCAGTCGGTGTATGCTTCTAACCCTCCGAGGGGTAGATTGCAGCAGCTCGGCCATGAGTATCTCAATTCTTTGATGTCTATCATGTAGCTTCACCCTGACATGAAAGAGTGTATCAAACACTGTGTAGCGGTCTTCTCCGCCTTGCGCGAGCCTGCCGGGAGTGACCTGGGCAATGGCCATGTAAGTCTGGTCGACAACAAGTGCAAGGTCAGGTGGAAAGAACTCAATGGGGATCTGTGGAGTGGGTTTGAGGTGGTCTGCGCGGCAGCCTCCAAACCGGCCAAATGGCATTGCATCTACCAAGTCTTGATAGGACGTGAGGCTGAGTCCATTTGGCAGATGGAACCTTTGCCTTGACTGTTCGTGTTTATTCCGCTGGCGGAATTCCTCTTCACAGAGCTGTATGCGCGCAGCAGAGGCAGTCAAGGCTAAGTCCTGGCAAGGAGGGGCTCTGCTGCGACTGCGCACCTGCGTGAGTTGTATCAGGCTGGTGCCCGTGCCTGCCCTGTCCTGCAGGTGATGCACATGGCCGTGTGATGGGGTTTCCCTGCCGCTGATTTGCCTATCGTTCGCAGCTGGGATCTCTGCCACGCGTGTTAGCACATCTTCTGTGACTGGCCAAAGCAGAAACAGCTGCATATAGTAGGGGATAGGCACCAAGTGCCAGGTCTGCCTAGCTTCATAGGCATCTTGTGCTAAAAAGATGGATGCATCCCATGAAAGGGCCCCTGTATCAGTGATTTGATTGGCCGTCTGCCACTCCGGGAGCAACCGCACCACTTCAGCTTTTGCCCACTGCGCGCTGGCAATCTCCCTTGGACAAACACTATGATTTCTCCTCTGCTCCGGCTATAGACAATGGCCTGTTGGCACGGTGTGATGTGGTAGCCAAGAGTGGTGAGCCTAGTGTCTATTGCCGTAAGCAGATGGGTAGTGAGCGTCCTGGCAAAGGCGGCGGGTGTGATGAGGAGGTGTTCGAAGTCCTCTATCAACAGGTCAACCCCTAAAGCGCCAAGAGCAGGCCAGGAACGGAAAAGTGCAGATCTTGGGATCGCTGGAATGGATGGTGCTTGGGATTCGTAAGTGACATAGTCGCCGTCCTGTAGCGTCGACCGGAAGAGTGGCATGGGTATGCCGTTTATGTAGATTAGCATCGGACGCCTACGTAGATCAGTAGGCACAAGCTGCTGTAGGTCGACATCCGAGTCGACTGCACAATGACCCAATCCCCCGCCTATGCCCCTGAGGTCGGTGAGAATATGGACATTGAAGTCCAATGGATGCCAGAGCATGACTATTTCCCGATAGGGAGACTGCCTACCTGGGTGTGACTTTGCCATGACCAAGCAGCCTTCTCTTGGTCCTTGCTGTCGAAGCCGGTGTTGCCCGATCAGGTCGGCCAACGCATTGGCTAGACTGTCAGGGGTGACTTCAGTCATTTCTGTACCGGCAATGGCGCCTCCAGTTATCGCAAGCAGAATTGGACTACCAGGGACCCTGAACACGTCGCGACTGATTGGCAGTGTCCTGACGCCAGTGGTGGTAGTGGTGGTGTGACCTGTGTTCTCTGCTGATGCACGATCAAGTCTGTCGGACTGACTGTTCTCGCGGGACTCCAATGTAGCATCTGCAACCCTAAGACGGTGGCGCATTTGCCGCCATCTCGACACACTGATGACAGGATGGCTGTCTGCCGTTGTGAAATCATCGCGACATGTGCATGGAGTGGTATGCTGGTCGACGACCTGCATCCTGTGCAAGTCTGTTGCAGGAAAGAGTGTCCCATACCATGATCGACCTGGGACTGGTCGCGATTCTGCATCGGAAATTGGGGCCAATCTCCGAAGGTCACCTGGCCTCATGGAGTGAGGCAGCATGAAGGCATGCACGGCCTCACCGGTTACATGAATGCGTAGGTATTGCTCGGCACTGTCCATTTGACATGGTGTCAGGACGAACAATCGGCGACCTTGGATGTAGCCTTCGGTATCATGTAGCTGCATGGCACTTGCTTCAGGGAGAACCCACTTTCTAACCCATGATGCCACATCTTCCAAGCGTGGTGTAACCTCTGAGACGGCCCCTTGTGCCTCAATATGCGGTCCTAATATTAGAAACGGAGGATTCTGTGCATCATGTAGGCCAAGGTCGTATAACCTTTCTTGTAAGGCATGGCTCCATGCTTGTTGCGCGATCTCTTGGTCAAGCTCAAAGCATGTGGTGGTCTCGAACTGAAGTTCACTGTTAATGTGAATGGGCAAGAGCAAGCCTGCCAGTCCTTGGATTCTCTGAATGAAGAAGTCATTTGGTCTCACGTCGGGCGCCTGTGGGACTAGTGAACCCGTGATGTAGTCTCCCTCGTTAAGAATCACCCGATCAGACCACTTAACCCCATTCCGAAACAAGGCCTTATAGCCTTTCAGTTCCTTTAACAGGAGATTGGGGTCGATGTCTCTACTCGCCTGCCGGAATGCAAGCACTCCTTGAGGCCGGAGGTCCAGCCATACAGAGACTGTGCCCGTTTGGTCTGAGTCTGTGGTATAGGCGATGAGCAGGATCTCTCTGTGGGAGGCCCAAGCTTGCGGCTGACAGGGCGTCAGCTTCAAAGCCTGCTCGTTGACTCGAGGCACTGTCTGAAGGGCTGCGGCCCATGCTCTGCCAAGCATTTCTCCAACGGTGGGTGTTCCCTGAAATTCAACCGTGAAGACCCCTACCCTTGAAATCCCAAGGCGGATCAAAGTCAGGGGATGCGGGGCAAGCGGCTGCACAAAGTAGGGAAGCTCATCGGTTTGCATGCCGGTGGTGGTCGAGGTAGTTGGGAGAGGATTCGCTCTTGCAATGGCTTCCTGAGTGTAGTTCCTGGCAACTCTAGGGGCTGGCACAAGGGTTAGCAACACCTGTCTAAAGCCGGGTAGTTGCTGTACTACATCAAGCGTCTCAGTCACTGCCGCAGGCCTATCTCCAGCCGGGACCAGCAGAGCTCCTTTCCTGGCAGTGGTGACTACAAAGTCGTGGGGTGGATCTGCTAGGGCCCACTCCTCTAGGCACCGGACAGCAGCAGCACACATCATGTCTGCTGTCTGTGGTGTGTTAGGCACTATCGGCAACGCTGTCATGCCCCTTAGGTCTGGTCCAAAGATCCTTCTGAAATCCGCTAGAAACACCCCATGGGTCGGGTGGGGAATTGGAGTCAGCATACAATGGAGATCGATTCCCTGTGCAATCGGCTGCTGCCAGAGAAACTGCGTTCTCCAGCCGGGTTGACGCGTGGCCTGAGCCATGCTTTGTGCTGCAAGTTGTGCAACCTCTTCTGGCGTTGTGAGCCTCGGAAACGTGTGAACCCATGGTGGGTATCCAAGCGGGTGGAAGGCCACTGTGAACGTGGGTTCCTCGGAAAAGTCTTGTGCCTCCATCACATGGAAGTCTTGGTTCGTCCGCGAGCTGCTAGCATCTGAGGAGGATTCTTCTTGACTAAGAGTCTCGGTAGTGCCACTATCTGATCCAGCAGCGGCGATGCTGCTGATCACGGTTGGATGGGTGGCAAGTATGTTAGGCTGGAACGGATCTGCCCATAGGATGCCTGGAGGAAAAAAGGAGTAGTGGCTCCTGGCAACCCAGTGCGACAATTGCCTCGGTGTTCTGCAGAATCGTTCAACCCGGAGTGCAATCTCGAACGCCGATGCGTCACTGGGGACTCCTACTGTGCAGATTGGAACGTTATGGGCTCTAAGATCAACAGGAGTCGTGATCCAATTCGGGGGGAGGTTAGCCGAATCAAGCACAATTTGAACGGCTGGCAACCCGGGAAGGGGCACTCTCAAGACCTTGACGGCCGTGATAGGTTGTGCCTGAGTGTTGCGCACTGCATCCTCAATTATCTCCCTTAGTCCCCACTGCGGCAGTAATTGTCGGATCCTGTAGTGATCCACGGTGTCGAAAAAGACATACGCTGAATCTTGGGCGTGTTGAATCATCGCCTCAAGGTCTGCAATCGGATAGGGCAGAAACACCGACGCGACCGGGTGTGGCGGGTGGGGATATTGTGAGGAACAACCAGGGCCGCTCAAAGGAAGGAACATGCAATGACCTGTTGCATCTGCCTGATCCGTGCCCGCTGGTGCGCTGCCCGTCGGATGTGTGAAAGTCGTCCCGATTGCTTGAACCAAGTTATGTGGAAGACAATGCGTTAACTTGGCGCAATGTGTATCTATGTATCGCGCAGATAGAGCTTGCGCTTGGCAAGGTGCAGCGGGGTTAGTTAGTGTCACCTCTCTTGCCATGGGGTGGGAGGTGAGATTAGGGGAATTACGCCTGTGCCTTTGGACCTTTGCAGAGGCAAGTGATGCAGGGAGCTCTCCCGTAACACGGGGCTCCACCTGCTCAACACGGAGTGAGTGAGGGCTTGTGTTGGTGCCGCGCCCGGAGAGCTGCTGTGCAGAGATTGGCTCCATCCGTGCGTTGAACCTGGGCAGGGTTGGTGCTTCCCTCATCACTCGATTAACCCTCCGTGCAAGGTGGTTATAAACCGTAAGACAACCCTCTTTAAAGGCGCAGAACAGCGGCAGCCTGTGCGAGAAAGTGTGCATCGCTGTCGCAGCCTGAGGGGATCTTATCTTAGGAACTTCGGAGTTGCTGTCGGGTGACGGCATTCTCCAATTCTCTGCGAGGTGACCGTGTACTTCGACCGTCTCCTCTTCATGCTGAGGGATTCTGGGGTCATGCCAAAAGATGGTCCGACCTTCGTGGAAATCCAGATCGTACTGCAAGCACAGGGCTAACAGCTCGGCATGCCTGTGATCAACGAAGTCTGGTTCCTGCCTTATGGAGTGATCAATCGAGAGCTCCATATCACCTGCTCGACGCTCATAGAGCGGAGCTTCATGCTCACTGGGTCCCGTTAGGCTCAGCAGTGAGCTGCCTGAAAAGGCTGTCCTGCCTTGTTTGCAGCAGGGGCTTCCTTCTGTGTAGCAGCTGATGTCGGCGCTTGCGAATTGGGCCCACCAGCATGCCCACCACCATCTTTGGGTAAGTCTGCAGAGGAGATGCTTTCCGCGTCCTGCTCCCTTCCCTTCCTTCTCGGTGTCCTGGAGTGTTCTCGATCTGCTCCTTGTAGCGCAGTATCTCGGACAGCCTCCAGGGCTTTCCTCATCTTCTGGTGCTGGGTCATCATTTGCTCCCGGCGATTGGCGATCTGTGCATCCCTCTGAGCAATGTCGGCCACCTCCTCCTCGACATCTTCCATCTCGTCCGTCTTGGCGTCTATCTCCTGTCCTTCGTGTCCCGTGGCAAGCTTCAATTGCTGGTTGGTGTCTTTGTGCAGCATCGACCATTCCTTCTCTGCTTCGTCGAAGTGCAGGAGGGCATCTTCCCTCTCTTGGAGTTGCTTCGAGACCGTGTCCAGTAGCGATTGGGTATATTTGGCCCATCCCGCTTCGAAGGTTTCTCTTTGGTGCCGGATGCTTTGAAGCATCGTGACTGCGTTCTTCCTCTGGGAGACCAGCTTGTGAAGGACTTTGGCTTCCCCTTGGGCTGTGGTGTGCGATGCTTGGGCCATGATCGCCTTGACACTTTCTGGTAATGCAATTTCGTTGCGGCCAAGCTCTCCTAAGAGAGTATCGAGCATCTTGCGGTCCTCTGTAGAAGCCCCTGTCGATGGCGTCGTTGTCGTATTTGGCATGGTGGGAGCTGTTGTCGTTGGAGGTAATGGCAGCTGCGAAGTCTGAGGTACTTGTGGCTGTTCTCCTTTTCCTTGTCCCCAACTCACATAGCGTGCCGTCTCCTTGCCTTTGCCCGCCTTTTTGTCCTTGCCACCTTTGCCTTTGTAGTCGCCCTTTCTTCTTGGCGATGGCTGTGGATGTCTCCGTCGTGGACTGGGTTGTTGCCGTCCATGATGTTCTGTATATTGCTGCGGGTTCGGTCCTCTTGTATGCCATGGCGCTCTGTCGGTGCTCTGAGTCCAGTGACCTCCACATGATGGGCAGTAACTGGCCTGTGCTTTGACATATTGTCGACAAGCATGACACTTCCACGCTCCACTCTGAGCCATTCCGGACGCGTGGGTCACCTTCTTGAGCAGAGTGCTGGCTGAATGATGGCCTGCTAGGGCTCGAATGGCCCTGTCGATCTTGTCCTGCTGGACCGCTCCTCCACTGGACAGGTTCCTTAAGACTGTCCTTGCTCGGGTCCGCTTCCGTCTCTGGGACCGGTGCCAAGCTGGTTCTCTGGGAATCTTGTCCCAGTAAGGTGGCCAGGCCGATAAGCCACAGACGGCTGATCAGCATAAACAGCCAAGAACCAGCCGAGATCCAGCGGGGTGCCAGCCCGATCAAAAGGCAATATGCAGAAAAGAGAGGAGTCAGCCAGTGCTGAAAGTCGAAGTCCTCGGCCCAATGGTCGCGAGGAGAAAAGCCAGGCACTACTCTGGGTAAGTGCAGCTTCCAGGCACCGCTCTGGATAGGTGCAGTGTCCGGGCACAACTCCGGAGAACACAGAGGTGTGCAGTAATGGCGGTTCGTGGGTACCAGAAAGGTACCACACTAGGGTTGATGGCTACGGCACGTGGACTCCTAGGAGAAACTACACGGCCCTGTAAGCCAGAACGCCTGGGTTTAGGGTTTAGGGTTTAGGGTTTAGGGTTTAGGGTTTAGGGTTTAGGGTTTAGGGTTTAGGGCTACGGGCCCTCCCAAAAAAGGGGGAAGAAGAGGCAAAACAACCCTCCCAAAGAGCCTACCAAGAGTCCAGAATCTGAAGGACTGGCTCCTGCCATGCCAGGGACAGCTGCCGCATGGAACCCAGAGTCCTGAAATGAGGGTTTAGGGGGTAGGGTTTAGGGTTTAGGGTTTAGGGTTTAGGGTTTAGGGTTTAGGGTTTAGGGTTTAGGGTTTAGGGTTTAGGGTTTAGGGTTTAAGCTAATAGGGTTTATAGGGTTGCTAGGGCTTAAAGGTTTTGGTGTTCGGGTTTAGGGCTTAGGTTTTAGGGCTTAGGGCTTGGGGCTTGGGGCTTCGGGTAGCAGCAACAGGTTGACCTCTCTTTGTTTCACGAACTTGCCCCCTTCGAACAAAAAATAAAACCCTACTGGGTTTAGAGTTTAGGGTTTAGGGTTTAGGGTTTCCTAGGTTGCCCAGCAACCTATGATAAAAAGGGTGCCCTTTTTGCTTAAAGGGGTTATAAGGGAACCTAAATCCCCCCGAAAAAGGGAATAAGGGTACTACTGGGCATCCTAGGCTAAACCGTACTCTCCCTAAACCCTAAACCCTAAACCCTAAACCCAAAACCCTAAACCCTAAACCCTAAACTTTGCCAAGCCAGGGTCTGCAAGGCCACGATGAGCTGGCTCACCACCGCCGCCGCCGTTAGCAAATTTAAGCCTGCCAGCCATCCAGGTTTAGGGTTTAGGGTTTAGGGTTTAGGGTTTAGGGTTTAGGGTTTAGGGTTTAGGGTTTAGGGTTTAGGGTTTAGGGTTTAGGGTTTAGGGTTTAGGGTTTTAGGGTTTAGGGTTTAGGGTCTAGGGTTTAGGGTTTAGGGTTTAGGGTTTCGGGTTTAGGGTTTAGGGAAAGAGGCGTTGGGTTTAGGGCAACATTTCCTCCCGGCCTCAAAACCCTACAGGGGCCTTTATGATCAGCACAGGGTCTTGGCGGTTATTCTGGAACAAATATAAGGGAATAGGGAATAGTATTTGTAATTATACCGACCCCTATCTTTAATCATGCCTCGTGGCAGGCGGGCTAGGGGGGGACCCTGTTTAAGTCGCAATATCAGCCACCTTGTCTCCACGGCTCTGAAAGAAAAAGCTTTGTAGGAACGAACAAAACCCTGAAAAACTCAATGCCCTTAAAACCCCCCCCCAGCCCTCTCAACCTATCAACCCTTCCCTCAAAAATGGTACACGTGCTCCCGGGGTGCTCAGCTGGCTAGGCTCCATGGTCAGGAAGCTGAGAAGCCTTTGGTAGCCCAGTAACCATACTATCATAAGGGTACCCTGTTCTGGGTTGGTACTTTTAGCTAAGGGGACCTTGAACCCAAAACAAGGGGAAAAGGGGTACCACTGGGCTACCAAGAAGCAGCAAGACAACAGGGATGAAAACGAAGAGAATGGCTCCGGGCAGAAGGTCGACCTGGGGCAAGGGGCAGGGGGGGGTTCTGGAGGGTTTGAGGGTTCTGCAACCCTAACCCCGAACCCTAGGCTTGAGGGTTTTAGGGCTTAGGGTTACAGGGTTCAGGAGTGCTGGGTTCGGGGTCTATGAGCCCTTCCGGTGGGTTTAGGGTTTGGGGTTTAGGGTTTGGCTGTAGGATTTAGGGTTTAGGGTTTCGGGTTTCGGGTTTAGGGTAGGTAAGGCCTCTTTGCATGGCTGACATGTCCCGGCAAGCGCAGTAGGATGTCGTCGAGGGAAGTGGTCGGGCTGGCAGTTGTTGCAGGCGCGCCCTTCTCGACCCGGAGCCTGGACACTTCTTACCCTAAAACCCTTTCAAAGCCCTTAAAAAATCTTCCAAAAACCCACCCTTTAAAGCCCTTTAAAACCCTAAAGCCCTTTGAAACCCTAAAACCCTGAAAGCCTGAAACCCTTCAACTACCTAAAACCCTAAAACCCTGAAAATACCCTTCAGCTTAAGCGTACACGAGTCCTCAGAAGTTGACACGGTGCTCAATCTGGTTTCCTTGCTTCGGCAGCTTACTTCTAAAGCTCCCACCCCTAAACCCTAAACCCTAAACCCTAAACCCAGAGCCCAGGAGCACAGTCACCCAGCGTAGCCTCCGGGAGGCACTCGCTCGCGTCGCGACAGCGAAGAACCGAAAAGTCGCACTGGGACTCGATCAGTCCACCCTCTGTCCAGAAGCCCCCTTGCCTGCTTGGAGGTTTAGGGTTTAGGGTTTAGGGTTTAGGGTTTAGGGTTTAGGGTTTAAGGTTTAGGGTTTAGGGTTTAGGGTTTAGGGTTTTAGGTTTAGGGTGTAGGGTTTTTAGGGTTTAGGGTTTAGGGCCCCCTTGCCTGCTTGGAGGTTTGGGGTTCAGGGTTTAGGGTTTAGGGCTCATGAGTTCAGCGGTAGTACTAAGAAGGGTTTTAAGTACCCTAAATAGGGTGAAAGGTATGGTTCTCATACTTAAAACCCTGCTTGTTGGACATAGTTTTAACTAACGAACCTCCCAGCATGGTCTTGCTGAGGAACTCAAGCTAGGTTACCGCGATGTAGGACTAATTTTACACGCAAGAAGTATAGTATTCTCACTATGGTATCCCTAAACCCCAAACCCCAAACCCCAAACCCCAAACCCCAAACCCCAAACCCCAAACCCTAAACCCTAAACCCTAAACCCTAAACCCTAAACCCTAAACCCTAACCCTAAACCCTAAACCCTAAACCCTAAACCCCTAAAAGCGCCCAGTTGCTGCAGGGGTCGGCCCAGTCCCTCTGGGCAGTGCAAGCCCGCCGGGCATTCACGGCAGCTGTCCCCACACAGAAAATAGCCTTCCTGGGTTCCCCCAGTAGGCGGTTAGGGTTTAGGGTTTAGGGTTTAGGGTTTGGGGTTTACTTAGGGTTTAGGGTTTAGGGGTTTTTAGGGTTTTTAGGGTTTAGGGTTTGGGCTTTGAGGTTTAGGGTTTACTTAGGGTTTAGGGTTTAGGTTTTAGGGTTCGGGGCTGGGGGTTTAGGGAGTTTAGGGTTTAGGGAGTTCGGGGTTTAGGGAGTCTGGGGTGTAGGGGGTTGGGGGTTTAGGGAGTGTGGGGTTTAGGGAGTTTAGGGTTCAGGGAGTGTGGGGTTTAGGGGGTTTAGGGCTGAGGGTTCTGGGTTCAGGAAGAAGGGCGCCCTTTCGTGCGCCATGGCGGCTTCTTCAAAAAACCAACCTAAGCCCTCGATAATCCCGACACCCTCATCTGCTCAGTGGCGAAAATGAAGGCGCTACTGGGCACCCGAGTTGCACGACAGATGCAATCCGACTCGGACTCAGAAGCGCTCTCGCGCGTGATCAAGTTGCCCGGGCACGGAAAGCATTGGAGGCCCTCGGACAGTGGCATGTAGGTGCCAGGCGCACACCTTCTGCAAGCCTCCATGCCCTCCATAGGCGCCTCTACATGGGAACCCCTACCTTATCTAGGGCACTATGTTGAAGGGTGAGCTGACAGTTCTTCTTTTGTCGCTTTCGAATGGTTAAACAAAATCAATCAACCAAAAAGAACACGTTATGTAAACACACTTGAGCTGGACTCTGCGGTTTCCGAGTTGGGGGTCTACGAGATTAGGGGTACCTTATTGGGGTCCTCATGATAAAGGAATCTGATAAAGGAATCCACTATGAGGGGATCTATATTGGGGTCCGCAAATAACCCTAAACCCTAAACCCTAAACCCTAAACCCTAAACCCTAAACCCCCCAGTTGAGCCTCATAGCCAGGAAGGCACGTGTTGCACTCCTCGGAGCCGACGTCTGGAGCAAAGCGCCCCTTGGGGCACAAGGTGCAGTTCCTTGGGGACCACTGGAACCCTAAAAAAGGGTTTAGGGTTTAGGGTTTAGGGTTTAGGGTTATTCCTACTAGAGAAAATGAGCCATAAACCGTTTTGGAGCTCATTCGGTCCCCAAGGTTCTGCATCCCGGTGCGATTCGCGAAGGCCCCTCGCGGGCACAAGACCTCAGTGCTTCACCCCTAAAACCTGAACCCTAAACCCCTTGACAACCAGTTCGTTTTCAAAGGGACCCCAGCCTAAACCCTAAACCCTAAACCCTAAACCCTAAACCCTAAACCCTAAACCCTAAACCCTAAACCCTAAACCCTAAACCCTAAACTCTAAACCCTAAACCCTAAACCCTAAACCCTAAACCCTAAACCCTAAACCCTAACTAAACCCTATACCCTAAACCCTAAACCCTAAACCATTGAAGTGGGCCGTCCGAGAGGCATAGGAGGCGACCGGTCCGCCCGAACACTGCTTGCCTTTTGGGCAGATCTTGCACCTCTGCTGGCCCTCTTATGAAGCCCTCGTAGGGTTTAGGGTTTAGGGTTTAGGGTTTAGGGTTTAGGGTTTAGGGTTTAGGGTTTAGGGTTTGGGGTTTGGGGTTTGGGGTTTAGGGTTTAGGGTTTGGGGAAAATGTGCCTACAGATGATGCGCCCAGACCCCTTTGAAACATACTAGTACATCCTAAACAAAAGTTCGGAAACGACTGAAACATCCCAAAGGCCAAGCGAGGCACTGCCCAGAAACTTCCTTGTAAAAGCCAGGGTCGCAAGAAAAGAGCTGCTCCGGAGGCATTGCGCGTCTCGACCTGGGCGTTTTGGCTTAGGGTTCAGGGTTAAGGGCTTAGGGTTTAGGATTTAGGGTTTAGGATTTAGGGTTAGGGTTTAGGGCCACGACTGCTACGGTAACTTGCAAGGTGCCTTTGTAACAAGAGCCCAGTGACCCATCCATCCACACCGGCTGCCTCTCAAACGTGAACTTCAGTGTGGAGGCGCTAAACATTGCCGCAGCGACAGCCTGAGGCGCCGAAAGCCCCGGCATTTCCTCGGCTGGCCCTGATTAACCCCCTCTGAAAAAAAGATTCTGAATATTGCTGGGTTTAGGGCTTTGGTTTTAGGGTGTAGGGCGTTCCTGAACATGATTCTCTTAAACCCAATCAGGGAAAATCGAAAAATCTATACTCCCCTTAGAACCTTAATAAAAACTACTATTGTTTAATATCCTCTTGGGTTTTATATGAACGAAATTTTAAAAGCAATTCGCAAGGGGGATATAGAAATGTCCCAAGGTCCTACCGACTTGGGCTAACCCTAAACCCTAAACCCTAAACCCTAAACCCTAAACCCTAAACCCCAAACCCCAAACCCCAAACGCCGAGCTTCCTGCAAGTTTATGAGCTGGTAAGCAGCCAGGCGGTCCCCATTCTCGTCGAAGCTCACCTCGCCCGAAACGCCCATGAAGCCTTGAAGCTGTCGTCAGAGGGTTTAGGGTTTAGGGTTTAGGGTTGAGGGTTGAGGGTTTAGGGTTTGGGGTTTAGGGTTTAGGGTTTAGGGTTTAGGGTTGAGGGCAAGCCCAGAAGCGTGTTCTCCGAAGCTCGTCCAGGAGCGCTTCCTCTCGAATCTCGCTCTCGGACACCGTGTGGAGGAGGTTGTTGATGGCCACGAATAGCGTGTACAAAGCATCCTAGGCAGCCCAGCAACCATAGTACAAGATTATGTGAACGCATCATGTTCCTATCTAAACCCTAAACCCTGTAAACCCCATAAACCCTAAACCCTAAAACCCTAAACCCCATAAACCCTGGCCTAAACCCTTTAAACCCCAAACCCTACACCCTAATGGGTACAAGGAACCTGGAGTCCCGAAAAAAAGGACAACATGTACCAGAGGGCTTCCAAGCATCGAAGGCGAGGGAATCCCACACATTGAGAGCTGCGGCACCCCCGGAGAGCAAATCCGAGATCCTGAGGTCTAACATCCTATGGCCACCCTTGTTCCCTCTATTCTATACGGAAGCTGGAAACCTAGCAAAAAACATAATTCTAGCTGTTGTTTAGGAATTATAGTACCCAAAACATGAACTTACAAAAAAAATATATTTCTGAGTACCCCTAAGGATCCACTGATGGTCCAGGGGCATCTTCATCTTGTCCAGATGGTACCTGACGGTGTAGGGAGTCTTTTGGCTTTTTGGGTCTCTGGATTCTATGGTGTCTCTCGTAGGGTTTAGGGTTCAATTCTTGGTAGCCCAGAAATCAGATGATAATAAGGGTACCCTTCTTGGGGTTGGTTACTTCAGTTTAGGAGGGAACCCTGAACAAAAAAATGGGAAGAAGGGCAGAAGGCTACCAAGTACTTTGCTGCTGAGTTCATAAGCCCCCAAGAAAGTGTACACTGTCAGTTCTAGAAGGGATTATGGTATTCCAAAAAGTGCAAAGTGTACTCCTTCAGCTACGAAGAGTAAGTACCCTAAACCCTAAACCCTAAACCCTAAACCCTAAACCCTAAACCGATGGGCAGCCCTGCCTCCCAAAGATATCATCTGGGCTCAGTTGGGACCACAGCTCCACGAGCTGCGGAAACAGCGGGCCTCTGAACCTTGCTACTGTTTAGGGTTTAGGGTTTAGGGTTTTGGAGGTTCATGGTACTTTTTGACCAAGTAGAACGGTACTTGTAACTGTACTTATCACCATATTAGGGCACTTATGCGGGCTCATAAGTGGGTGGGTACCATGAACCGTCAAGTAGCCAGCAACTATAGTCTAGTAAGGGTACCCTTTTGGCGGTTGGCCACTTTAGAAGGGGACCTTGAGCAAAATAAGGAAAACGGGTACCACTGGGCCACGAAGGAACAAAGGCGAAAAGAGCATGAACCCGGAGGGGAGCTGGTCAACGTAGCTGATGCAAGCGTCGGTTCCCACCACCTGCCAGCCAGCCTCCATCATGCCCTCCTCTCTCATGAGGGGTAGCAGCCCTGCGAGCATGTGCGAGTTCATGGCAAGTAGGATGAAGCGAGAACCCAGCCGCTTCGCTATGTAGAGAACCTCCCTTGCTTCTTCAACTGCGAAGTCCTGCATGTAACGCAGTGCCAGGCCTTGGAGAAAGTCTTGCTTTTCCTGACCCTGTGCCAGCGTCTCCATTTCACTGAAGAGGCCTTGCCCATAGCTTTCTAAGGAGTAGAGGCAGGTTGCCAGTGCAACCTCGAAATGCGCAATCCAGGCCCATAAGGCACGGGCCTGAATGCTGTCTGGTGAGACTGTGCGAAGGAAGAAGGGATACGAGTCCTTGTTGGACAGTTCAGAGTTAGTTGAGGCAAAGGCCACCACCGGAACTTTCTGCACGGCCGCAATGGTGGCAACGGGCATTGTGATAGACGAGATGCCTGCACCAACCAGTCCTGTGACGGGCGCGGCCCCGTCCAGGCCCCACATCATGTCGATCGCTGTGGCTACCCCTATGTCGGTCTTCAAGTGTGTCGTGCCGATCCGTAAAGTGACTGCACTTCCATTCGGGTGCAGCCCGCCTGGCAGTGTCACGATGGGTGGGCCGAATCTCTCCACTAAAGACGCATTCCAGTGCTTCTGGTAGTCTAGATATGCCGCAATCCATGCGATGACTGGTCCTGGGGAAACACTGTTAGTGACGCCCGCGAATGCTCCCAGCGCAATTTCAGGAGCCACACGCGGGAACAAGCATGCCAGTAGCAGCAGACAGCATCGCACGTGCATCTTCGGAAGGGCGTGGTCTCTCTGTCTGACTCACCGACTATTGTAAGACAGGGTGCTGTGGCAATATATAATATATCTGGGCATAGGCTAAACAACACGTACATGATGCTAGGATGGCCCTTAAACCCCTCTGAAAGAAGATTCCTGAATATGATCCACTTAAGCCCAATAAGAGAAAAGCAAAAAATGTCCCAAGGGCCTGCCTAGGATGTGTTTGGAGCCCTAAACCCTAAACCCTAAACCCTAAACCCTAAACCCTAAACCCTAAACCCTAAACCCTAAACAGCTTATAACAAGCAGTGTGCATGTTTCTCAACCAAGACGGCCGAATGGCTGCAGGGGCCACTCAGGCGGCTACTCATGCAGTGCCAGTGAGCCCAATAGAAAGGGCTTAGGGTTTAGGGTTTAGGGTTTAGGGTTTAGGGTTTAGGGTTTTGGGTTTAGGGTTTAGGGTTTAGGGGTACTACTACACCACTACACTTTGTGTTTGAAAGCCAAACAACTAAGTATTTCTTAGCAGCGGAGACAACTCGGAGTGCTAGGGTGTATAGGGCCCATGAATCCTCTACCCAAGAGTAACCTAGGAACCTAGGACAAAAAATGGGTGCTCTTTTTTGGTTTTAAAGGCGTATGATAAGGGAACCGGAACCCTAAAAAAACAATATGGGCCCACTTCGGGTCCTAGAATCCGAGTCTCGTGAACCCATGCCCACTCTCGAGCAAGCCAGCCCATTAGGCTCATGGAAACTGGATTTTCAACCCTCCCCCCCTCCCCCCGCCCCTAAGTCCACGAAACACACCCTAAACCCTAAACCCTAAACCCTGAACCCTAAACCCTAAACCCAAAATATCCTGAAGCCCTCAAAAATTGCGGGCAGTCGATGCAGGACTTTGCAGGCAGCTGGGCGCCTGTGTGGCTTGAGCAACCTGGCGAGCGGTCTTGTCCAACTTCAATAGGGCCCAATAGGGTTTGGGGTTTAGGGTTTAGGGTTTAGGGTTTAGGGTTTAGGGTTTAGGGTTTAGGGTTTAGGGTTTAGGGTTTAGGGTCTTCTGCAACTTCCAGGAAGGAAGGCCCTCAACCCTAAATCCTAAACCCTAAACCCTTAACTTGAGCGCGTTATAGGCCTTTGGGGTGAGATGTGTTTGCTTGACTCTAGACATCCTCTTTTGAACTGCTTCGTCTGTCTTGTTGCGACGACGAGGCAGTTCGTTTTAACCGGCTGATGCGGCTGTTAGCCGTGAGTTGGGTTGCTGAAAATAAGGGTCCCCCTGAACAAACTGTTATACGCAGAACCCTTCTACGCCAACATGCCCAATGGTGATATGTCGATGAAACTTCTCTACCCCTCAACAGCCAAGAGAAATGAGCCTAAGCAGGTAACCTCTAAACTCTAATCCCCGAAGTCCTCAACCCCAAACCCCAAACCCAAAACCCAATTCCCAAACCCAAACCCTGAACAACTAATCCCTAAACGAAATCCCAGAAAACCAACACCCTACCCCCGAAACCCTCATCCTGAACCTAAACAACGACTCTCAACTCCCAAAACCCCAAATAACCCCCCCCCCCCTCCCTCTGCCCAAACCCTAAACCCTAAGCCACAAACCCTAAACCCTAAACCCTAAACCCTAGACCCTAAACCCTAAACCCCCCTGTCCTCGCTGCTGAAACCAGCTGGCCAGATCCTCTCGCGGACCTCCTCGTCGAGTCGAGAGGCCTCGGGCTGAGATTCATGGCACTTACTTATTAACAAATTAGAACTGAGTTTAGGGTTTAGGGTTTAGGGTTTAGGGTTTAGGGTTTAGGGTTTAGGGTTTAGGGTTTAGGGTTTAGGGTTTAGGGGTACTTGTTAACCAACTCTGACTGTACTTCTGATCCACTTGTAAGCCCCTTAAGTGCCCCAATATGGTTACAAGTACAGTTATAATTATAAAATGATTGGTTAATAAGTACCATGACCCTCCACGTGGGGCTGAGATTCAAGTGCAAGGTTTATAGGGTTTTAGGGTTTGGGGTTGGGGGTTTAGTGTTTGGGGTGTGGGGTTTGGGGTTGAGTGTTTGGGGTTTAGGGTTTGGCTTAAGGTTTGGGATTCGGGCTTTTGGGTTTTAGATGGACTCGGTTGACTCTTTTAATCCCCCTTGCCCTAATACATGTTGACGCGCGCCCCAAACTAGGGAGCTTCCATAAGCCAGGATGGCCCTCATAAAACCCCCTGAAAAATGTAACCCTAAACAATAAACCCTAAACATCCCAAGGGCCTAGCTAGAGAAGGGGCAAACGCATCAGGGCGCGGGGTGAGCAGGACGCCCCGGGGAACCGACGAAGGCCCCAGGACACCCACAGGGCAAGACGAAGGTGGATCAAGGCCAGCAGACCAGTTTTGCATTCGTTTAGGGTTTAGGGTTTGGTGTTCAGGGTTTAGGGTTTAGGGCTCAGGGTTTGGGGTTTAGGGTTTAGGGTTCGAAAAGAGGGTTCGACGAAGGCCAAAAGAAGGGGGTTCAACGAACGCCTTTGTCGGAGTCTGTGTGCCAATCCCCCCCCCATACGCTATCCTGATCGGTTTGGCCCTGATAATAAAGGTTTGGGGGGTGGGGCTAGTGTTGGGAGGGCATTCACTCTGAGGCGGAAAGGGTTAGCATGCTTGGCAAATGATTTGAATGTGAGTGAGTTTGGGCGTGCTTCGTGCCACCACATTCGTTGATACAAGCAGTTTGGCTTGAAAGGGGCAAAAAAACAAACTAGAGGTTTTAGGACTTCGGGTAGTTTAGGGTAGAGTGCCCTACCCTAGACCCTAAACCCTAAATCCTAAACCCTTAACCCAAAACCCTAAACCCTAAACCCTATGCGTGTACCCCAGGCAATTACTCAGGGCCCGGTGTAAGCTCCTACCAGCGGGCCTAGACTTCCACACTGGAACCTAAAATCGTCACACGGCGATCATAAGGTTTCGGGCTCTTTTCATCTTTGGTTGGGGGGACATACCTGGCCCCTGGCACCCCAAACCCCAAACCCTCAAACCCTCACCCCCAGTGCTATGCCCCCAAAAGGGTTTAGGGTTTAGGGTTTAGGGTTTAGGGTTTAGGCTTCCCTAAACCCTAGACCCTCAAGATACCGGTCTTTAGAGCCTGATCCTTAGATTCGTGCCGCTTCCAGGATGTTCTGGGCGTTCTCGGCAAGCTCCTCTGCGGTTTGGGGTTCAGGCTTGAGCCGGGTTTAGGGTTTATATGTGTTTAGTTCTGCATACATGTGCATATATATCTATATATGTATAAATATGTATAAATAGATACATATATAGATAATATCTATATATATATATATCCACACATTTTGTTATTTATTTGTTTTATCTATTTAGGGTTTTATCTGTATACATATGGGGTTTTGGGTTTGGGTTTTAGGGCCTGTCTGAAGAGCCACAGTCGTAGTCGAAAAAAGAGCCTAACCTCCAAGACTCTAACCCCCTAAACCTGGCAGGACTCTCTTAGCCCTCGACTTCCAATTGTAGTCCCCATGGTTCTGAGTAGGGAATAAGGGAATAAGGGCGCTACATATACCTCTAAAGCAGTATGTAGGGTACCGCATTCACTCATTCCCTACTAACAACCAGCCGTTGCCGTTTTTGCAAACTCTCAAAAAACTTCCCCGGGACCCAAACCCTAAATCCTAAACTACGTACCCCAAACTAACCTAACCTATCCTAAACTACCCTAAACCACCCAACCCTCACTAAACCTTCAAGGCCCCCACCCAGAAACAGCAGCAACACCATCTAAACCCTAAGCAACCCTAAACCCTATACCCTGAACCTTCAAGGCCCCCCGGCCCCCCCAGAAACAGAAGCCCTAAACCCTAGACCCTAAACCCGAAAACCCTTTAAACCCTTTAAACCCTTTAAAACCTAAACCCTAAACCCTAAACCCTGAACCCTAGCCCTAAACCCTAAACCCTAACCTTAAACCCCTTTAAACCCTTTAAACCCTTTAAACCCTAAACCCTAAACCCTAAACCCTCAGCCCTAAACCCTAAACCCTAAACCCTAAACCCTAAACCCTAAATCTAAGGGCGGCCTCGGCCACTTTCGCCTCGAGCAGCGGATCCTTCTCCGACTCAAGGGCCTGCTTCTTTACTTGGAGCTTTCGGAAGTCGGGTTCAGGGTTTAGGGTTTAGGGCTAGGGTTTAGGGCTGGGGTTTAGGGATTAGGGCTAGGGTTTAGGGCTAGCGCTTTTGGGGTTTGGGGTTTCGGGTTTCGGGTTTTGGCAGGGAAAAAAATGAACGGTCTCTTTTGTTGTTCCAGGATATGCTGGTGAATTTTAAGGAGCTCAGGAAGAACTAAGGGTGTTTTTCTCCTAAGTTCCCTCAAAGTCACCAACAAATGCTGAAAATTAACTCGGGGCTTTCGGGTTTCTAAGATTTGTGGACACTGGGGGGGGGCGGGGGGGGGGGGGGGGGGGCGGGCCTTACGATGTCTAGGGCTATAGGGTTCGGGGTTTGGGGTTTAGGCTTTGGGGGGTTTAGGGTTAATGTTGAGGGTTGTGAACCTCAACATAGTGCGAGTCTACGCAACATAATCGGAACGCGAAACCCAAAGTGCCTTTTCCATGTCCATGCCGATGAGTTCGTCCAGCATCAGCTCCTTGTGTCTTGGGTTGCTGTGTAGGCAGTTGCAAACACAAAGGAAGATCTATATCTGTATATGTACACATATATATAATATGTTTATATACAACCTCTAAACCCTAGACCCTAAACCCCAAACCACTTACAGTAGCCTGACTTAAGTTTCCTAGCAGCAGCCGAGGGTTCAGAAGCTGTCAGGGCTGAGTCTGGTTTTAATTAGGGCTTGGGGATTAGGGTTTAGGGTTTGGGGTTTAGGGTTTGGGGTTTAGGGTTTAGGGTTTAGGGTTTAGGGTTTGGGGCTTAGGGTTTGGGGTTTAGGGTTTGGGGTTGAGGGTTCAATGTTAGGCTTGCTGAGAGGTTTGCACGGAATGCAGAACA